CGAGAAAGGGAATCGACTCACTTCGTTTCTCTTCTTTGAACGGACCGTTAGCCTTAACGTTGTTCGTTTCGTTTTGATCTCGATCGTAAAGAAGATTAACAGAATCCAATTTGGATGGGATTTCTTTCGAGTTTCGTTTTTGCAAATAGGAAAATGCACCATGAAAATGATTAGAATTTCGAGATTCTGTCACGGGATTTTTCATTGGCTTCGAGTCGTAACTAAAAATAAATAAATAATAAATAAGTGTGATAATAATAAATCGATAACGTTATTATTATATAATGGTTTTTACGTGCCGTATAAAGGAATTAACGATTAATAACGAGAAAAAGAGCATTGCAGATTTAAGTCACATTTGCTCTCATATTATTATTATTATATTATTAAACCAATGAATATTAAATTCTTGCGAGTGGATATTATCATAATAATTTTCAACTTAATTTAACTTAATAATATTTATGAATTATAGTTGAATTTTTAATGTTTCAAAAAACGCTTTAAAAGAACACGAGATGAAATTACGATAAATTTAATTCTATTATTACGGCTTAAAGTTTGAACGTCGATATTTCGAAGGAAACCTTTATCTCTAATTATTCCAAATTATGAACATATTCATGAAACCATTGTAATTTATTTCAGGATATCTCTCTAAATGCGTATTCATATAACCAAGTACTGAAATTCAATTTAAATTCCATTTTCTCGATATAATTGCAACATGTTTTTCCATAATTCTTGTCGCAATTGCCAATATCCTTTTAAATTAAATACGCGTGTATACGATAATCAATTTTCTTGTGCAAAATGTGTCATACCTTTCCACTTGTTCCAATTTAGAGAATTCGTTTTTCTGCGTGATTTCGTTATGCTCTTTACTTGGAACGATGTCGAGCGTGTCTCCAACATTGCACTGCTCGTTACGTTTACGACAACAACTGCATATTATTGGCTTTTGGAATAAATTTTCCTTGGTCGAGCCATTTTCCCCACACTCATCGTTCCAATACGTTTTTACTTGATTCGGCCTTGATTTTGAAGAATTCCTCGTTAACAGTAAATTCTCTTGATCATTTGAATCCTCATTTCCGCTAAGACTTTCAGTCTGATTACACATATTGATAGAAATTTTAATAAGCAGATATTATTGACAACAAGCTTTTAAAAAACACTATTTATTATTTATTTATTACATAAGCAATTTCAAAGTCAATTATTTTTGTTTTAATCTATCTTCGTGAAAAAAAATGTCTCACTTTTGAAAAAAAATAAATAGAGAAATTACTACTTCGATAAAAACAATTGCATAATTAGATGGAAAAAGTTCGGGAAAAATTTTATAGCAAAATTGAAATTAAGAAAATCATTGTATATTATCGTGTTATTAACGAAAGAAATACAATTAGAAAGCTTAATGTCAAAAAACATTATATGCAACAGATACACTTCGATAGATTTTTATCTCTGATCTATCAAAATTAAATTTGAATTTATAAATTTAATTATAAATCCGTCTGATATGAAATAAATATTTTTTTAGAAAATAAATTATAAAATATGTTAATGAAAGCATTACCTTATCGAACTTCGTTGCTTCTTCCGAGTTGCAATACAGGCCAAAATTTTTCGGAAATTTACGCCGAGCTCGACGAAAAGCCATCGCGGCTGCGACCAACTGATGAGACGAAGACGGACAAACCTGAGACATGGCTAAGAAGTCGTATAAATCGAGTCGAATATTCTCCGGATTTAAAAATAATTCAATTTGTCATTCGGAGTGATTGGTTAAGTTTCCTATAGGTAAAGGGCAATTGAACGTTGAAGTGAGCTACACTCTTTCACTAATAATTTACGAAGAAATCGAATTCGATTCTTCTATCGATGCTATTGATTCGAAAACTAGTAAAAAATACAATAACAAGTAACAAGTAATAACTAACGATAGTCTTCGCTTTAAAATGGCATAGAACATTGTGAATGAATATCTTACAATTAATAAGATTTTGTAATACATTAAATATATATTATATTTAATTCGTTCGATTAAATGTTGAAATTAAATTTTCAATTAAAATTTCTCGAAAATTTTAAATAATTATATTCAAAATTTTTCCTCTCTGAAATTAAATGTTACGTAAATTTAAATAAACGTGTAACGTTCTATTATTCTTATAAAACCCCTTAGAGTTTTCTGTGTTAATTGGCTATTTTACGATATTCGATTCTATTATAATCTTTAGTACACTGTTCTTATATAACGATACACAATTTCGATACCGTACAAATTCATTGGATTTGTATTAAATAGAATTTCGTTTTAGCATGGAAATCTAAGCCGACATTCTTCACATCGAAACGTTTAACTTTAATTAGATGACAATAAAAATGAAATTGTTTTAATAATATTCACCGATTGTATTTAACCATAAATTTAATTTATATTAAACTATATAAATGAATAATCGTAAAAGAAGCTTATTTCTTCAAAATATAATATCGAATAATTGTTAACTTTTTAATTATGAAATAAATATAATTAAAATATTCTCTGATATTGATTTAGTAATCTTAGAAAAAAAAAATTTATAATTAATTGCATAAACCGCAATAAAAATGGGGAAAATAATGTGATAATTAATGATGAAATAATTGGAAAATATTTTGTCATCGTAAAAGTTAATCAAAGTTTTTTAAAGATTTAAAAAACGGTTTAATACGATTGAAATAATTTTAAATTGGTTATCGATATATAAAAACAGATAAATACACAAATAATTACACATCCTACGATATAAATATTAATATCTTGCATAAAGCAGAGAAAAATGTTAAAGATATCATTAACATTACGATAAAATTGATGATTGAATTAAATTAATGCCCGAGATATTATCGAAGTTAAATTAATTTATTCAAAAAATTGTTCCATCGGAAAATATATTTTTATAACTAAACCATAAAAATAATAACTTAACCCAAAGAGAAAGATTCCATACATCAGTCAAGATTCAACAGATTCGAGTTTAACTCGTTTTTTTATCATAACAGTAAAATATCGTACTGTATCAAGAATCATCTCTTTATGAAAACTAATCCTAGTAACTTATTCATTAAATCAAAAATATTACACCATAACAACGATTAATTAATTTACACTTTTCACAGATATATAGTGAGAATCACGACAATTTTTTACACGGAAAAATCCGAGATTTTGATATTAACGTTTCATAAATTATATTATAGGTGATGATTTAATCACCTTAATTTAAACAGTTTGTATACAAACTCGCATACATTGTATGTATACTATTCATACATGAATATACAATACGGATAAAGTATGCCGATAAAAAAAAAAATAGACGCCTATATGATAAGTTTGAGACAGGATTATATACTATGGATATAAAATATTACATTTCTAAATCTTC